CTTTGCGCGAAATTCAAAACAAACAAACAAACGTTCTGATGACAAGTATTAAATAAAAATATAATTAATTACATGTATATGAAGTCTTAATATGATCATAATGTGATGAAAATATGTTTCTAAATCACATTTTACCGAAATTAAGAACGAATAAGTTATAGGCAAAAATATGCGAAACTTGTTTACTTTGACAAAATATTATACCTTATTTTGTGGAAAACAACAACAAAAACAGTTGTAACTAACTGAATACAACATAGTTTCTTGATAGTGTTGAAAGCTTAATGATGTGAAGTCATACTTATATAACATACTTGTAGTTCACTTTTATTTAATTCAATTTACCACACATAAATTGTACGAAGAGATCACGATACTTAGAGAAAGCTACACTATAGTTCAAAATTTTAATGGTAACGTGAGAGACACGCTACTTTTTTATGAAAGAACTCGTCGTAGAGTTTTTTAAATACACCCATTTGACGTGACGTATTTATATATTAGAGCTTATAATAGGCAGTGTAAGGAATATCAGACATTTTCTCAAAGTATATTTTCAGCTAAAGATAAAACAAAATAAACTGTGAATGTGCGTAATAATATAATTATAGAAATTAGTTACAATGTTTTCATTTGCTAAATTCAATTCCAATCTTCTTGAAACTCCATCGATATATATAAAGAAAATATCACTAAGCTGCTGTTATCACCTGGCAACAAAAGTTTTTCTCTGCTACTAGAAAAAATGCCACTGTTTCCGAGTAATTTGAAGATGCTGATTCTAAACATCGTGTTGGAAATTACTGATCATCTCTAGCTTTTGAGTTACGATAAATTTATTCAAAATATATCATGAAAATAACGTCTTTATTTATTCATTGAAAATTGCATTTAAGAATGTTCAAAAAACAATACATAATAGCAACACCAGTTTAAAAAAAACAATTAGTACAATAAGATTATATACTGAAAATACACTCAAGCTCTATTCAAAACTTTCATTATGGTATTATTTTTTGTTATAAAATATCTGCGTGATTTGTTGCGCGTTTTGTGAATGTTCTCAATTTTATGCTTTAAGAACCAACAGTAATCTCCCACCATCGTAGAATTCCATTGTCCCTGATATCTCTTTTTCCATTGTAGAAATATCTTAGCGGAAATTCTCACCATGTTCATCGCTCATTGTACCTAGATCATGTGGAAAGAACTTTAATAGGAGCGTAAGAAGTGCATTTTTAGTGCCATCTTAGACCCCACATTTCTGTAGTTCTCGAGCATATAATCAGTCATCACAATATAGTTTTCATCTCTGTGATTTGCTAAGAACCAGTTTGAATGATTTCCAAGCAACACGTTCATTCTTATTAAGTGCTGTTTCAAAATCATCATCAATCAGCATTTACCAAATTTATGGCCCAACAAAGATACCTCCTTTCATTTTTGATTCACTTATTTTT